ATACCGGTACTCTAGAATCGCATCCTCCAAAGCGCTCCTTATCCTGTCATTGTATTGGGTACTTACAGATATAACTTCACCCTCCACTAATTCATCAACATCATTGGTATGTGATACTAACTGAGGTGTGCTATTAGCTACCAAATCCACAGTGTGTGACGAAGAAGGGATGATCAAGCTATTCCGTATGTCAGAGCGTATCCTCTCAAGTACTGCATCATCCAGCAGATGACAGCGCTGTATAGCTCGTACTTGATCCGACAATCGTTGTGCTGATACGTTGACAGCAGGTTCAAGCTCCTGAAACAAAGAGACTAGTCGAACACGGTACGCAGTAAGGTTTGTTCCCATCTCTGTAGCCCGATAATATGCCCGCATGACATTCTCATTGATAGAATTTGTCCACTTCATGCGGCGCACATTACCACCGGTAGCGGGGACCCTATTCGAGGTCAGTGGTCCTCGGGATCCTAAGCAGATCGGTGGCCGGCCTCTCCCCTGCCGACGTACAGGTGTTGGCGACGTCGGCGGAGAGAAAAACTCATCACTTGAAGTCGAGCTCGACGCCTCAGCCACGGCCGGAGCTTCTGTTGTGGTTTCCGTGGACGGCAAGACGGAGCGGAGCGACGAGTCCGGGGATGTTAATTGTGCTTTCGACCTAGCTCTTGTTATCATTCTACAGTCTTTCTTGGGTGGAAAAATACTTTCATGTATTTTGACATGACGTTAGACGTCATGTCTATATGCATATACTTTATTTATTTTTGGTTTATCTATTTTAAGCATTTTTTATTATATTTTTATATAAAGCATCCATTTTATTGTTCTTTAATTTGTTTAGCTTATTTTACGAAATTGTAAATTGTTGTAAAATCTATTTGTTTCGAAAATATGTAAAAGAAATGTCGACTGTTTTCAGTGTTGCTAGTTATTATTATTATTATGGGGTGGGATACATAATGAAGACGTGTTAGGACGAGTCAGCATATGTGTTCCGGACAGATGCGTGTGGCAGCGCCGCCGGCCGCCGCTGCTGGCTGTCCCGTGCGGGCGCACCAACCTGCAGAGAGAAGCACCGCTGACGCGCGCACTACGTACTCTGAATATAATTGCGGACGAAGTAGATTTATTTTATTGCTCACTGAGTGAATTCACAATAACAGCATTAAGAATTATTTCTTATAATAAATAAGTAGATGGTGTAACACTATTGCATTGGGCTAAGCCTGTAAAAATAGTTGTTTTTAAAGAAAATAAATAAATAAATAAATAAATAAATGCTATGCTCCTCTGTTGTTTAGTCCGTCGATTAGTTAGTTGATCAAAATGAGAACGGTCAGAGTGACTCGGCAGAGTTAGTCTATCTAATTTTCTTCTACAATTTACTGAGAAAATAATTCTAATTCTATTCTTCTTCTCGAATTCTTGTAACATAACGTTAATACACGAACACGTCGTAAATGTAAGATTTGTTTTATTTCTTAATAATGCGGTATTTGCGGTTTTAATAAATACAGATATCTGGATTGCTGCAAGGAACGAACTGTATCTACTTACAACATATGATCCTGTATTTAATGTCATCCTATGCTGTAGCAGAGTTGGCTAATGATGACACTTAAATTAGGATTATCTAGGATCACACACACATAAACCAAAGTATTTCTTATAACTTCTCATGAGTCATCTTTCACGTATCAGGCAAAAAGCTCCGCTCGCCAAGAAAACTTTTAGATGGCAGGATTATATTACTCAACTTAATCGGAATACATCCTTAAATTTTGCCATAAATACATTATATCCTTCGATCTTATAAGTACGATTAGCTCACTTCTACTGTGTGCCTGATGTGGGGTTCTTCTGATGTATAATATACTAGATTATGCCCGCGGCTCCGCCTGCGTATATGTTACCGTGGTAAAAAGTAGCATATGTTTCTCGCTGATTGAGCGTGCCATTGGTAAAAGATATTTTTAAATCGGTTTAGGCGCGAAAGCCTAACAAAAAAGCAATCTTAATTTCACATTTAAACTCGTATAAGTATTGATATATTATTCTAAAGTTTCAAGCTCTGTTCAGTAGGTTTAGTGTAAACAACACTCATTCTTATACCAGCAGTAGAATAGCAAGCGTATCGGTTATGGACTAAATGACATCTTTATGAGGAGATAAACATTACAAAATGGCGGATATGGATGTTTTTGGAAACGCTTACGTTATTGAAAACTTATTTTATCGTGCGTACCGATGGAATAGCGGAAAAAATACACATCAATGAGCCCTGGGGGAATACTTTTTGGAAATAGGAAGTCTTTAGTTTGGAGCTTAGGTATAATCTGTTATTTACGGTGGGAATAGATTGTAAGTATCTCGATTTTGTCCCAGTAGATAGTGTACCTTATTATTGTATTGTCTTTGAAGATTCGTAGCTTGGGGACAAACACGATTTGAGCTGAACCGGACACTGGGAAGTGGTTCTAATTTATCTTCCAAGAACCGTGCCGAACCCACATACAAACAAATATTGCAAGTTAAATAAAAGCTCGTAAAAACAATTTTATCACAGTCTCTCTTTTTTCTGGTATGGATAAAGTTGAATAAATTTAAAAACAAAAAAGCAATAATGTTTTTAGGTAGCCAAGACCCAAAAATAATTAAATTTTTATTCAATTTCTTTAATTATCATCAGTCACCATCGGTCATCGGCGGTGTTTTAGCCATCATTCATTTTCACAACTGATAAAACTGACAGCAAATTTCGATGCTGTATTGGCGGTTTCACAATTTAGTTTTTAGGGTTCGGTAGGCCTAACAGTCTAGTAGTTAGTAATAAAAAGATCTGAAGTTCTAGTTTTGCATGGATGTATATATTTATCACGCCGATGAAGTAAGGTACTGACTGAGTTGAGCTGGCCTGTTGCTCTAGTGGTTAGTGACCCTGACTGCTAAGCCAGAGGTTGTGGGTTCGATTCCCACCCAGGACAAATATTATGTTATGAGAACGATCATTTGGCCTGTGTCTGGGTGTAATTTAGCTAGACATCCATACTTATATTATAAGTTTGAAACTGAGTTGGTTTGTTACACTTTCACGTCTAAATCACTAAGCCGATTTTTAAAATGGTTCCACCGATGGAAAGCTTCATTATCAGCCAGTAACATAGGCTACTCTTTACCACGATATCAGTCATACACGCAGCCGGAGCCGCGGGCAAAAGCTATAATAATATTTCGGATATCTGACACCAACGCCATCTAGTTTCAAACTAAGCAGAGCTTGTGCTATGAAAACTAGATTAACTGATAGAATACTTATATACTTATTATTTTTTGTAAATACATACCTAATGGCATAGTGGTTTGTGTAACGGACTGCTATTCAAAAGGTCACGGGTTCGAATACCGCTCAAGTCAAACGTTCCAAATTCAATTTTTTGTTTTTTTTGTTGTTGTTAGATTGGCACAACTGTTTTACATTTTATGTTTGAGTTGCATCTGTTATTTATATTAAACACGCGTAATTGTGCTGTTTTTAGTTATGTCATATCTAGTGTGTATTGCGAATTTCATAATGGGCAAAAACATCGAACAGAGAGTTTGTCTTAAATTTTGCATCGCCGATAGAATTTCGTGTTCGGAGTCACTGAAAATGTTACAGAAGGCTAACGGTGAATTGACTTTATCAAAAACACGTACTTATGAGAGGTAGAAAGCGTTAAAAAGCGGTCGAGATGTGATGGAAGATTTGCCTCGCTCTGGTAGGCCATCAACGTCTGCAACTGAAGTTAACATCGCAAAAGTGAAGGAAATAGTGACTGAAAATCCTCATTCAACTTTGAGAGGGATAGCCGCCGAACTTTCCGATACGAAACATGTTACCGCTCGGCTAGTCCTAAAAGACCTGAATTTTCTCCAAAAACTCAATCGCATGATAGTCGCTAAGGACATGCTAGAACGAGTCAATTCCGACCCAACATTCATGAAACGCATTGTTACTGGTGACGAGACGTGGGTTTACGAGTTTGACATGCAAACTAGTCAACAAGCTTCTGAGTGGCGCCTTCCAACTGAACCGAAACCGAGAAAGCCACGCCAAAGTCGATCAAAAGTCAAAGTCATGTTGACTGTTTTCTTTGACTATCGCGGTGTTGTGTACTCCAGCCAAAAAAAGCCAGATTTGTGAACGAATTTTTGACCAAACACTCAAAAAATACCATCGAGCAACCACCATATTCACCAGATATGGCTCCAGCCGACTTCTTTCTTTTTCCTAAACTCAAATTACCACTTCGTGGCACCCGTTTTCAATCGGTAGAAGACATAAAGGAGAATTCGCGGCGAGAACTGAACTCAATTCCGGAAGCAGCGTTTAAAAAATGCTTTGATGATATGATTATTCGTTGGCGTAAATGTATCGTTTCTGAAGGAGCATACTTTGAAGGTGATAATATAAAGGATGAATAACAAACATTTTGTGTATTATTGATCTTTTCCCGATACTTTCTTGACAGAGTAGTATGTATTTATATCAGGTGTCTAGTACCCACAGTACAAGCTCTGCTTAGTTTGGGACTAGATGGCGTTGTGTGAATATGAAGAAAAAAAAAAGTAAAATAGAATATAAAAAATAATCTAGGTTACCTTGCAAGTGGGGATGTTTGTTTCTCGTCTATCCCATTTATTATGAAAATCACACACATATCACATAATTTTAATAATTTAGTGTATGCTGTCACTATGATATCTATTTTTTTTTAGGATTAAAAGTATCTATGTGTTATTCAAGAGATCTATATATGTGTGATATTTCACCCAGATCCGTTCAGCCTTTCTAGCGTAATTGGTAACAAAGTAACCACCCAATATTAATGATTGAATGCGCCACCATTTTAAATAATGTTATCACAAATTTATTAAAAACACTATTATTTCAAGACTAAAATCAAGTTAAAAACACAAAAGAAACATAATTTATATGTATATTGATGCATTTATATTAATTAGTCATAAGATTCGTAGTCATCAGATCTTGAACGGCCACCGGGTCTACCGGGTCCTCCACGTCCACCAGGCCCACCAGGCCAACCGGGCCCACCAGGCCCACCAGGCCCACCAGGCCCACCAGGCCCACCGAATCCAGGACCTTGAGCGCCGTATTCAGATTGTTGATTTTGTTCCCAATATGGGATTGTCTTTATATATGCTCCATTTCTTGATTGTTGGCAAGAGTGTCTTCTACACTGCAACGGACAGAAAAAAAAAAATTAATTGATAGGCCTATTGGTCTAGTGTTTAGTGACCCTAACTGCTAGGCCAGAGGTTGTGGATTCGATTCCCATCTAGGTGAAATAACTATATGATAAGCACAATCTTTTTTTAAAATAATACTTTGAATAGAAATATATAAAATTGTTTATCACCAGTCTGGTTACTATAGTACAGGCTCTGCCTAGTTTGGGATAAGACAGCCCTTTGTGGGATGTGTAATGTTATTATTATTATTATTATAAATGAGCTTTTAACGCGCCCTTGACGACCCAAGTACTGACTTCCTGAGGCCCATAGCGTGGTGACTATGAATACAAAAGAATAGACTATAAACTTCCTCAAGAGTCTTACTGTTAAATAAGAGAAGAATTTCAAAATTGAAGGACCAGTTGGTATAGTGGTTGGTGATGCCAACTTCTGTGCAAAAGGTCCTGGGTTCTATTCCAGTCGAGGACATATAACTATGTGATGAGTACAATAATTTGTCCTGTGTTTTAGTGTTATGTATCTATGATGTATGTATTTAGTTAAAAATAGGTATGGTTTTCAGCAGTCAGTAGATGAATTAAGTAAAGTTCTTTTTCTTTTTTTCTTTAAAAAGACATTTCCCGCATTAGGAATATATCCTGTGTCGCGGGGGAAATTACAAACATACATGAATCGGACACAAAGAACACAACAATTTGTGGATCCATAAGTGTTGTCCCATGTGGGGATCGAACCCACAACACCCAGCGTAATAGTAAGCGGCGTGGATACCGCATAAACCACTATAGAGAGAGGGAATCTACCTACATATCAGAGTCTAAAACTCTGATGAGTAGGTAGATCCTATCTCTCTTTTTCTCCTTAAGAAATAATAGAAAAAATTAATGCTTACCGATGCCTCACACGCTTTGCCCCAACACTGTTTTTGTAAAAAAAAACAAAAGTCGTTTTTTAAACAACTTCATACCATATTCTTGTCATGTGTAAAGCAGTTCCGTGTTACATATTATGACATAGAATTAATAATTTACTTTAAAATCACAACTATTATTTTCAAATAAATGTCAATTTCTACAAAAGAGATAGAAAAAAACTCTGTACTTAGTTCTATTTCTTTCAAAATGAATATATAACCTTTTTAATTTTGACGTGTAACATCTTTCGTCTCGCTTTTCACCTTCTGAAGTGTTACAGAAGGGCGGGAAAGTGCGTGCTACTTCATTTAACGGTAGATGTACGTCAGGTGGTAGGCGACATGTCAGATGTAAGGATCATTCATTTCTTTATTCGATACTAACTTTTGTAAGTGGCTCCGTCCGTCCGTCATTGCGGTAAAAGGTAGCCTATGTTACTCGCTGATAATGTAGCTTTCCATTGGTGAGGGAATTTTTAAAATCGGTTTAGTGATTTAGGACTAAGAGCGTAATAAACAAACAAATTCACTTTCACATTTATAACATAAGTAGGGAGGTGTGAAACTTCCATACATATCTTCAAGACGTAATGGCAAATTTAACACTTAGTGACGTTTAAGTTAGCTATGTTCAATTATTTTTTCATGTGGAAACCCCCACGTGACTCACATCACCGTCAAAATCGAACCGACTAACACCACATGGTGTTCCGTCACATGTAAGTCTAGGGCAAGAGACTCGGGCATACCCTTCGATGGAAGTCCCCGAGAGCTTATGTACCTCTAAAGGTATGTAGACATGCTTGATTTTAATTATAGTTTCGTCTCAAAAATCTTAACGAGGTCTATTATAATACAAAGATTGAAAATTGCCGAAGTCAAAGGATTATATTACATACCCTCGCGTGACAGTTCTCTCCATCGCACTGCAGTCACAAAAAAAATAATCGTAAAGTAAATAAGTAACCTGAATAGCTATAAGTTACTAACATATTTAAACAAACAACACAAACTAGTCCACTGCTGGACATAGGCCTCTCCTTAGAAATGAGGTTTTGGCCTATTACACCACGCTAGCCAGATGGGTTGGTATAGGGGTTGTTTCAAGTCTGCCCAATTTGGGTATACCCAGCGTCGCGACAAGACGGCTGTACACGGGGGTTGTCCGGTCAATGGCACTATACGGTGCACCGGTGTGGGCGGCGGCTCTGACCGCCCAGAATAGGGCACGCCTCTGGCGCCCTCAGAGGGTAATGGCGGTCAGAGCCATACTCGGTTACCGCACCGTGTCGACGGACGCGCTGGCTTCGCCGCCGTGGAGGCTCTCCAGCCGGTCATCGCCGAGTGGGCAGGGCGGCAGCACGGGACCCTTACCTTCCGGCTGACGCAGGTGCTTTCCGGGCGGTCTGCCCCGCATGGGCGACGCAGCGCCGGGCCCTCACTGCAGTCATCGGACTGGATCTCTCGCTACCGGCCGTAGTACGCTCCATGGCCGGTAGCGACAGTTGTTTTACCGCGGTCGCAACCTTCTGCGAGGAAGTAATCTCGCAGAAGGAGGCGGCGGAGAAGGCCTGCGAGGACGACCTCCACTCGGACCCGATCCGCCGCCGGCGAACCGGGCGGCGGAGGCGCGCCTATCACCGCCTCATGCCGCCCTGAGTGTGGCCGCGGGTGGACGGGGTGGGTTTCCCCTCCACCCGCATTAGTTTGGCCAGCCGCGAGGGGGCGGCGTCCGCGTGTGCCGGACGCCGCCCCGTCACCCGTCACCCCGCCGCAAACCCCGGTGGGGTGACGGTCCGAGGGGATTTCCACAGGTTAAAAAAAAAAAAAAAAAAAAAGGGTTTGTTTCAAGTTTTCCTTCTCTTTGCAGTGCTGTTGTCCTGCATAGTTTATCTGTTGTATGTTATATTGACAAGGGTTTAAACCAGCTCTGTGCTAAACAAAAGTTAATAGTTACCAGCTATTGCCCGCAACTTCGGTAGCGTTAATATTTCTTATTTGATGTTTTCAAAAATCATTCCTTAGTGGATGCTTACAACATAAAAAGCATCACCTGCCAACATTTCAAGTTTGTAGCCCCAGCTGTTGAGGCCCCAGCCATTCAGTAATCAAGTAGTTTTATATGTCATACCAAAATATACTTTAAAATAAAATAAAAATACTAAATATACGGGCGAAAGTTTTACGTGACAACGACTATGTCTGTCTCTCTCGCTCTTAGGCGGGCTAACCATGCCCGATTGGAAGGGATGCGTGCCTCTCACTCGCTCTCATTGTGAGCGCATAACGTGAGCGGAGCGTAACGCAGTTTCTTGAAGTGTCACCCGGCAAACCAATTTATAAGACGTTGTCACGTCAAAACCACTACTAGGTAAAATTATTTAGAGCTAAATTACAATTCGTGAAAAGGAAAATTGAACTGTTAACATACCTTGGTGGTGCAGAATTCTCCAATACACTGAAAATAAAAATCATCTTCAATTATTTGCTTCCAGTGTTTCGCTACTCACTTATTATGGTAAAAGAACATCTAAGTAGGTACCTAAAGTGTTTAACAAAATAAATTTATCAGAAGAAAATTTTGATTGGATAGATCGCTAATGGAACTAAATAAGAGTTCATTGTAGTAGAATAAACCATACAAATTTAAAATATAAGTAGTGTTAGTATTTAATTCATAATATATTTAAAGTTACATACAAAGGTAATAGTTAACATAAAAACAATATGTTATAGGTTTATATGTATATTACTGTATTAAAAAAAAAACTGATATATGCCTAAGGTGTTTCATTGTTATGTAAAACAGGGCTTCTCGCCTTCAAACGTATTAGGTTTAGCGAGTTTAGAACTAAGTAACACCTAAGTACTGTAATTCAAGTATTAGAATAAATAAAAAAATAAAACTTAACTAATCAATTGGCTTTAACTGTATGTAACAAATACTGTACATACATATGTTTATATGCCGATGATGTTGATGATACATACAGAGAATTTTAGAGTATAATATTTACTATTACAAGTCTCTTGAAGGTCGAAATTTGGGCCAGCTCGACCGGAATGATATCGATTTTTTCTTTGGTTTTCACCGAGTGAGTTAGGTGATTGGAGACCAAAGCTACTTCAGTCACTTACTATCAGACCCGTCTCCTCGTTTACCAAGAAAAGACAATCGATTAAGAAGATATTTGTTTAACAACTGCTTTGCCTTCCTGTAATTGAATAGGTATAGATAATATGACGATGACTGAGGAAGTCGTCACTAAAACCCGATATTGGACGTTAATTTCATGTCCCACTTGGTTCCTAAGGCATTCTCAGTAGAGGAAGATTCGTTCAGCAATTACTCGCTATCGAAATTCGAAGAATCGATGCCGTTGTATAATCGACTTCAGTAAAGCGATAGTGAAGTGTAAATCTTCAAAATAGAATAATTTTGTTAGATTTACAATTTTGTATTGAAAAGAGGTTACCCGAGCCCCCCACTCCAACTCCAAGAACTCTGGGGGGACACACTCAAAAGGCTTTAAATCACTTGTGTGTCTTGAGATGAATGTGTCCATGGGTGGTGCAAGTCATCATGTGAATAGGCTTACCATCAGGTGAATAGCCTGCTCGTTTGCTACAATAAAATAAAACAGTGGCACTCCGGGAGTGCCGACAGAAGTAAAAACTTATGTGCAGAGGTGTTAATTGTTTTTTCCCCATCTTTAACAATGCTCAACGCACCTAAAGAAGTTTTCACTTCAACAGAGATTTCGATAACGGCAACAGTGTTTAATGGTAATTTTAGGCAGGCAGGTTTAATGGTATTTTCTCATAAAATACATTCTTTAGTTTGTTCAAAAATGCTCAAAGCGCTTAAAGAAGTTTTCAGTTCAAAAATAAGTGATTTAGAAACGACGTCAAGAAAAGACAAAATTTCAAGAGACAACTTTCAGCGCATTCTGTAAGGATTTTATTTCATTCAAATTTTGTAGTTTGAATATACGAGTTTTATTAAGTTATAAGTAGCGAAGACGTTTTTAGAGTTCTGTTTCTCAAAGGGATATTATCAGGAAACCTGTTAGAATCACTTCGTTATCCGTCTGCATGTCTGTTTGAGTGATAAGACTATTTTTCTCACGAATACGTTAATAATATGAAATTGACAATTAAGGTATGTATTGACTTGTTGGTCTAGTGATTAGAGACTCTGACTGCTAAGTTCGTGGGTTTAATTCCCACCCAGAACAATTAATATTGTGATAAGTCCGATTATATGTTCTATGTCTGGTTGTAATTTGTCTACAATATGTATGTATTTAAAACTATATAAGTATGTTTATCAGCAGTCACACACATACACACACGCGGACACACACGCACATACACACACAGGAACACATGCCTAGCCACATAACACACACACACCACTTTCAATATGTAGTAAGTAATTTAAGTTTCTTAAGTAAATAGATTCAACTGCATATTATGTATCTTAAGACACAACTCCAACAGAAGTAATACGAGTATAAGATGAATCTGTAAGGCTGACCACTGTATCTTAAGATATAGGTAATTCACATAGTTTAAGAGGCAGAGTTCCACATCTCAAATACAAAATTTGTAAATTCTCATCAACTGTGTATTTAAATATGAAAATCTTTGCGTAAATAAAGTATTATTATTACCGTAGTACAGGCTTTGCCAAGTTTGCGATCAGACTGCGGTGTGTGAGATGGTGAGATGTATGAAATTATTATATACTATTTATCAAACTTTTGAAGCACAGATTTTAGGTAAAAGAAAATTTTGAAGATAATTACCATTGTCACACATCCGGCTCCTTTGCACTAGAATAAACAATATTATTATCATAGAGGCAAGTTGAAATATTGAACTGTTAAAATTTTATGAAAAACGTTTCTTACGAAAGCATTGCAGGATACGCCAATACACTGAAAAGTGGAAATACGCTTATCAAGTTGCTTATACGAGTACTTCTTTCAATCCTTAAGATAATTATAACTATTATCCATACTAATCCACACTAATATTATAAATGCGAAAGTGTGTCTGCATATCTGTTACCTCTTCACGCTTAAACCGTTGAGCCGATTAAGATGAAATTTTTATAGAGATAGTTTGAGTCCCGGGAAAGGACATAGAATAGTTTTTATCCCGGAAATCATCTTTAAAGGAAGTGAAAAGGTCGGTGGAAGTTTGTATGGACAATCAATAACCGCTGAACGGATTTCGATGAAATTTGGCATGGAGATAATTTAATTCTTGAGAAAGTACATTGGCTACTTTTTACAGGGCGGAACTTAGGGGAAAAGCTAGTTTTATTATAGATAAAGTAGTCATAGCTATACATATTATGTGTAAGTTTTGAGCCATCTCCTTTTCTTTAGACCTTGGATGTAAGTATACTAGAATATTCTGTTAGGGCGCTATTCTTACCCCTGAACCACAAGAATCGCCTGAGCACTGTAACAAAGTCACAAAATACATTATTTGCACAATAATCGACTATGTTTTGCAGGTCAGCTATATTAAAACAAATTGTAATATTAAACAATAATATGTTAAATCAAATCTATGTTAATATTATCATCATGAATTTCAGAACTACTGTTCTTTTAGTTACGATTTACCTTCTGTTTTCAGGCTTGCATATCTCTTATTTTTATTTGTCTAGTCTTGTGATATGAGAATCCTTGCAGACCCTTATAAGGTGAGGGCAAAGCTCTTGTGTCTCTTAAAATCAGGTGACCCGTCTGCCCCCTTATACAGTAAAAATAATAATTTTGTAAACTTACCGTACTGTCGCAATTCATGGTTCGGCACTGAAATGAATATTAGATAAGGATTATAACCGATTCTTAACAAGCCATATAGGGCTGATTAATTAATCAAAGCAGAGTTTAAACCGCAGGGGCTACAAACTTGAACTTTTGGCAGTTGATGCTTTTTACGTTTCACTCCCAAGGGGATAAATTAAGGGATGAACGGTTGTATGGAAATACCTGATTTTCAAAGTTAGAAATATGAAATAATTAAGCGAGTGAAAAAGCGGGCAATAGTTGTTTCTTTATAATTTGAATGTTTGCCCACATTCAAACCAGATACCACGTGTATTCAACGAACTTCAGATAAAAGCGGCAGAATGGCAAAGCGCAAAAATAAGAACCAACCGACTCCAATTGACCTAATTATACCACTACAAACTTAATTTATTTGGTATAACTTTTACCATTATTTGAATGAGTCACAAAGTTTTGTTCTGCATTCAAGTGTATATTGTGTTTATCAGTTTGATATTTTTTAGGGACAAGTCTGGGCAAACTCTCTTAAAGTTTGCTTATCATCATAAACATCCTTATTATACCATAGGATACCATTCGTAATTATTATACATAAATAATACCTAGACACAGAACAATTGATCGTGCCAAGGAACATAACACTATAAATATATATTTTTTCTATTTTTTTACACATCTTACATATGGCCATCTGATTCCAAACTAGGCAGAGCCTGTGCTATGGTAACCAGACTGCTGATAAACATACTTATATATTTATAAATACCTACATATCATAGATAAATTACACCCAGACACAGAATAAATCATCGTGCTCAACACACAATTATTTATCCTGAGTGGGTATCGAACCCACGACCTCCGGCTTAGCAGTCATTGACCACAAGACCAACAGGCCTGTCAATTTAAATCGTTAATCTATAAATGTATATTTATATACATACAGGTAGTATATATTAACATACATACTCTAGATTGACAGCCATCTCCAGTGCACTGGAAATAATACATCTTATTACTAGTTATTACACTAAAGAAAAACCTTTTAAAGGCTATCCGAATTAAAAACTTCCAAAAATCATAAATGCGCCCTGTATTTACTAAAGAATTCAGCTATTCACCTATTGGCCCCACCATCATTATCAACTCAATGATGATAAGTTATGGTATTATCATCCGAATCTCTCTAGTTGCCGGTGTCATGGAGGCGGTAGTCACTTACCAACTTGTTTATCCGTCTGCTCGTCGCCCCCCCCCCCCCCAATACCTTAAAATAGGGTATAGAAAATAGGTAAGGTAAGAAAATAGGGCAAATAGCAGTCGGCTTAAAATTACTCCACTTACGGCTTTAACCGAAGCCCCTTTAACGTTCAGAGTGACGGCTTCAACTGCGAGCCAATCCATTTCGTTAGTTCTATTCACAGCGACATTCCTCAAGACGGTCTGTATGGTTTCATAATTAGGATACGGTGTTGCCTGAACTGCTGCCGCTTGAGTTGTTGTCTCTTCTGCCTTAAGAATAAGAAAAATTTGTTAGGCGAATTATCAGTTGCGAAAGTCTCATCATCATCACCATCATCAACAGCCTTTACTAGGCCACTGCTGGGCATAAGCCTCTCCTTAGAAAGGAGTTTTTGGCCTACTAAACCATGCTGGACAGACGGGTTGGTATAGGGTTTTTTTTTTCAAGTTTTCCTTCTCTTTGCAGTGCTGTTGTCCTGCGTAGTTTACTCCTTTAGTCGGCTCTTAAGACACCCACGGGATGAATGTATTTGCAAAAGTCTCACCTTAAAGATAACATTTTTACTATAATTACTAAAACGAAATTACTATAATTCCCGGTAACCCCTCCAGCTAAGCTAAATTGCTTGTGTTAAGAGTGGGTTCACATCGGTAGTGTACTGGAATCAAATTAATTATCGGTTCACCAGTCAGAGTTTTAGTACTTATTGGCATTTGCGATTATTATTAATTTCATAATTGTGTGATGAGCATTTATTCTGTATCTGCGTGGTCTTCTCCTAAAATGTACGTATTTAGAAATAGTATCAGCAGTCTGGTTAAAATAGGACAGGCTCTGTATAATTTAGGATCAGCCGGCCGTGTATGAGGTTTATTGAGGTTATTACTCTCCCAATTGTGCTTTTCATCACAATGCATAATATTGCAAAGGGCTCTGCCTGATTGTTCTTATGGCAGATCTCCTTATTGAAGCCAGCACACAACAGGAAAATGAAAACAGGATAAAGGAAAAAGAAAAATGATGGCAAAAAAACAAAAAATAATGTCATTTACCATTGGGCCCGCTCTTAATGGATTGTGGTCAGCTACTGGCACGTATATGGCACCCTGCAACATATCAAATAACTCTATTGTATTTGTCAAAAAAATCATAGTAATATTATAAATGCGAAAGTGTGTCTGTCTGTCTTTCTGACTGTCTCTTTGTTTGTTACCTTTTTATGCTTAAAACACTAAACCGATTTAGATGAAATTTGGTATAAAGATCTTACGAGTCCCGGGAAAGGACATAGGGTAGTTTTTATCCCAGAAATCATCCTTTAAGGCCGTGAAAGTGGGGTAGACGTTTATTTGCGGAATCAATAACCGTTGAATGGATTCACATAAAATTTCTTAAGAACATACTTTGAGTCTTGAGGAAAGACATAGGCCACCTTTTACGGCCAATAGCTAGTCATTAATATTATTTTGCGGGCAATAGGTAGTCATTAATATTTTGATATTTCATTGTTTTTTAATCGTATAAGGGAGCAAACGAGCAGACGTGTCACCTGATGGTAAGTAACAACCACCTTCCATGGACACCCGCTACTCAAGGGTCACAATTATGTTGCCGCCCTTCGAGTAGCCCCCTTCGAGAATTACTCCTCCGGTAACCTCTGTCACTCGGTGAAAGGCAACACTGCTTGACTCTGGTTTTTTGTGAGGCCGTAGTATCTCTCTCGGTATGGTATCACGAGCGGATAAGCCGATTCCTTTGAGAAAAGATGGCTCTCCCGCGATTCTTTATTGAAGGTAACATTTATTTACACGGATTTAGACTGCATGGATGGCGTAACCGCTTAAACCACTTAAGCGGTTACCTATTGCCCTGGGTGTTGTGGGTTGGATCCCATCCATCCTTTACGGAAATGGGGCAGTATAAATAGGTTTCTACTTTGTCTAAAGTTTCTCTTAGAAATGAAGTGGATCTATATAGTATGTTGAACAAGTGTTTATTGTAATATTATAATTTACATTAATTAGGGATGATATTGTGTTATCCGTGTGGTGACGGATTAAGAATACGGAATGTCACCGACCCTATTCATCCCGTGGGTGTCGTAAGAGCCGACCAAGGGAGCAAAGTACAAGACAACAGCACTACAAAGGGAAGAAAAACTTGAAACAAACCCTATACCACCAGGCCAGCGTGGTATAGTAGGCCAAAACCTCCTTTCTCTAAAACCTCTAAGGAGAGGCTTATGTCCAGCAGTGGACTATTATAGGCTATTGATGATGATGATGATGAGGGATGTTGTAATGAAATGTTGTACAAACATTTCATATAAAATACAGATGTAGTAGTTCTGGAGATAACTTTCCCCCCAACGAAAGTTACAAACCATTCGCATATTACTTCAAAATATTGCTGACGGGCACAGTAACAGTACATAATGTAAGTCGCCCAAAGAATTCCTTGGATACTTTTTTCGACGCTTTCATGGCTTGACCGTTTATGTAGACATATTAATTATCGAATAGGTTAATTATACATCATTTGAAGTGAGACCCACAGAAAATTAGTCTTTGGTTGTTTTTCACAGATGAATTGCATTAAGGTTGCTATTACTTTAAATAATATAAATTATTAAACACTTCCAACTGATATTATGTGTGTTTATTACGCATTCAGTTATTAATAACTGAACCAATCTTGGTAAAACTTTGCATACACGTAATCAGTACAGAAAAGCATTTTTGACATTTTTCACCCAGAAAAGTTGTTCCTAAAGAATACTTTCGCTGACAAAATACATATATATTAAAGCTATACAGGATTTAACAAGATTATACAAATAATGTTTTCCATACCTTCACCGTATACTGCCGATTTCTCATATTTGATGGATCCTAAAATATATATAAAATACTATACATAATGTCGCAAGTACATGAAAAAATCCAACTCTTGTCTAGGAATAGCAAGTTGTGAATATTAATTCACAACTTGTCAATTCGGCTATAAAATAGGGTATCCCGTAGTATAACTAATATTATAATGACACTGTGTGTCTGTCTGTCTGTCTGAACAAGAAACAGCTGAACCGATTTAGATGAAATTTAGTATTATGAAGTTTGAGTTTATTTATTTGTTTATTTATGAGACCCAATGCAACTATTGTTCAGGTTTGTACCTAATACAATAGTGTAGCCATTCGTTGTTAAAAATAATATATAGTAATAATAGGTCTTTACCTATGAAATTGCCGTTTTGTATGCAATAAGTGAAAGTACTTATTTTTTCAAACTTTTTTATTTCTGTTATTCGAAGTAATCACCCATGCAATCGACGCATCTTTGCCAACGCATTGGCAGTTTATTGATGCCCTTCTTGTAAAAATCAGCTGGACGGGAGGCAACAAACTCTTCAAAGGCATTTTGTACTGCCTCTCGGGAATTGAATTTTTTACCCACTAAAAAGTTGTCTAAATTTTGTAAAAACTAATAGTCGGTAGGTGCAAGGTCTGGTGAGTATGGCGGATGAGGGAGAGCTTTCAACCCCAGCTCTTGCAGCTTGGAGACTGTCTGTTGCGCAGTATGGGGTCGCGCATTGTCGTGAAGGAGCAGTGGGGACGACCGATTGACCACCAAACAGTGACCATCACCTTTTTAGGGGTCATTTTTGGTTTAGGGCATTGCTTTGGTGCTGAACCAGGGTCTAACCAACTTGCTGAGCGCTTTCGATTGTCGAACAGAATCCATTTTTCGTTACAAAATTCCTTCATTTCTTTGCTCAACAGGAGCAGCGCAAGGCAGGTCTCGACGCATACGTTGCGCTGGCGATCGTTAAGGTCGTGGGGCACCCATCTATCAAGCTTTTTTACCTTGCCAATTTGTCGCAAATGGATCAATATTGTTCTGATGCTTACATTAAAAGCTGCCGCTAGCTCAGCTGTAGATTGAGTTTCGTCAGCTTCCACAATCGCCTTTAATTCATTATTGTTTACCAAAGTCTCCGGATGACCACGAGCTTCATTTTTCAAGTCAAAATTTCCAGAACGGAATCGGGAAAACCAATAACGGGTTGTGCGTTCGTTGGTACATTTCTCTCCGTAAACGTTTTTGATGTTACGTGCCGTTTGTGTCGCGTTGGTGCCACGACGGAACTCATATTCCATAATTACACGATTTTTTAAAGTATCCATTATGACGAAAAATGGTCAAATGTAATGAAAATACAACGCTAATCAAAAAACAAAAGACTGAGTTTGTAAATAGAATGTCATGGTTTTAAAACAAAATTAATTTGAATTTAGAATACAGAGCTATTACAAACTTTTTTTTATTATAAATGACCAGTACTGAAGAAAGGCAATTTCATAGGTAAAGACCTAATATGTAATACTTATTATATTAACAATTGTAACAAGTTAGATGGTTTGAGTCCCGGGAAAGGACATAGGATAGTTTTTATCCCAGAAATCATCCTTTAAGTTGGTGAAAATGGGGGTGAAAGTTTGTATGGGGAATCAATAGCTGCTGTAGCGATTTAGATAGTTTTAGTTGTAGGGAATGACATATTTTTACAGCTATAATCGACATAGACGCTGGCGGAGCAGCGGGCAAAATGTAAAATAAATAAAAATAAGACTATTTGATAGCTAGCGCGTCAGTTGCAAAAGGCTGTTCCGATTGGGCCAATTCTCTTTCTCCAGGTTAGCTAATTTAAGGGAATAAGAAGGAGATGGACAGCTGATAGTCAGTGTCTACCACTATCCATGGATAGCTGCAAATCATGGAAGCATAAGTGCGTTGATAACCTTTGAAGTGGGATGATGCCTCTTTTTTAAGCTTTGAAGGTCGTATTGGTCCGAAAATTGGAGATAATTTGTTCCACTGATTAGTTGTGCGAGGCAAAAAGTTTCTTGAAAAGCGGACAGCTATATAATATTGCTTACTCCTCTAATTTACTTCTGATTAATTTCGTTGCGGGTTCCAAGACAGATTAACATTTCATGGGACTTCTCAAGTGTCATAACTCAGTGTGTACGTGGGTCATGAATGCACCGTTTAATGATGACTGAAAGCAGCGGCCGGTATAAGCCTAAACAATTCTTTGGAGCACTCCACATAACAAAAACGATGGAGAATGAGGTGGACTTGCAGTTTCAATTCTTCATCATTTTCCATCGTTTGAGTTATGGGGATATTATATGGAGAATATTGCGGTGTAGTACACTGTTCACGTGACATATAAGATACTAAATGAAAAACTAATTATATTATTATTCTATGTTATTTTACCGTTACTTTAGCTACACCGTCCACAGTTTCATGCTGGAAAATATTTAATTAGTTATTAGTACTGAGGATGGTATACCACCTATAATATAATAGCAGAAGAATTCCTATAACTAAAGAAAAATATAATCAAACACAAATCAGCTATTTATAATTTTGAACACATCCTCGAGATACTAAACGAATTATTGTAGGTAAATAAAGTATAATTGAGCGATAAATACTTACTGAATTAAATTTCACCCACTTTATAGGCGCTCCAAAATCATCCTAAAATATATATTCAATAAAAATATTTTTAATTATCGTTAATGAGAAAAATTTGATTGTATAGCTCCTCATCCCACAGGGTATGTAATTATAATTCAGATATATAAAAAAAGGTTATTTACATACTCTTTTATTAAACAAATAAGGTTTATTTATCAGGTAGGCAGTATAGGTACAACATTGGCTGGATAGGGAGGAACGACTGTCACGATTCACTCGTCATTCACCCGTCGTCATTCACCCGTCCGATTGACTCAGATGCTCACCGGGCACTGTTGCTTCGAGGAGTATCTGAATGGAAACAGACGGGAGGTCACGGCGCAATGCCACCACTGTGGGCCCTACAGGGACTCCGCTCTGCACACGCTGGAAGACTGCCCTGCATGGGAGTCCGAGCGTCGAGTCCTGGTCGGACAGATTGGATGAATCTTGTCATCACCAGCATTAATCGCGGCAATTCTGGCGTGTGGCGAGGGATGGGCAGCCGCAGTCTCCTTCTGCGAGGACGTTATGCTCCAGAAGGAGGCCGCAGAGCGGGATCGGTAGAGGGCTGATCCCGCTCGAAGGAGTTGTCTAAGATCCGACTGCAGAATTAGTGTACTCATCGAATGTTTGCTAAAAATCAAATTTTTAGGCATATTTATGATTAGAAAAATATATATCTACCAAGGTGCCAATAAAAATGTGGCCGCTACTATTTTTAATTAAATTATTGCAAATTGATTTTTCGGAAAAAATTTCATTCGCTGGTTTTTTAAATAAAATATCGTCCACTTTACGGCAATATACATGGAAACTGTGGAAAATCACCGTTGCCGTTGCGCACTTGGCCGCACCTCTTCGCAGCCAGGTGTAAACAGGTATGATTTTGATACGTTTATACGTTCATAACGTACATTTATTGTTTATATATCAAATTAAAGCTAATTTTTTTCTGCTTATTATGATATACGGTTACTTAATTAAATTTGCCCGCAAATAAGGGTTACTGCATATTAAAGATGGTAAATATTTAAGATAGAGTGAAAGAGAGCTAGCGCGTAACATCATTAGTCAGACGAGGATAGTGACTGCCAGCTGGACGACACTTTAAAGCCGTTGCGCATGCGTCGAATGCTAGTGTTCTCAACCACCGGTTCAAACAGCAGTAGGGACTACTTAATAAATACTCCAAAAGAAATATTTTGTTTTTTTCAAAATGACAACTATAAAAATTACGACAAAAAATTATTATTGGTGAAAAATGAAACTAAGGTTCCTTATGTAAAAGTAAATTTTTTTGTGCAAGTACTGTTTGAAAAAATATGATGTTTTATTCAAATATTCAACACATGATTACATATTAATTAAACATTTAAGGAAATTAAAAATTAAAAAAATGTATTTTATAATTCCGTGACTCTTATTTAAAAATCTGAATCATCGGAGCTTTCACTTACACCATTATCGCTGCTATCACTTTCATCGCTATTACAAATATCAGAATCGTCGTCATTATCGGAAGATTTGTTCTTCGAGTCACATAGCACACTCTCAACTTGCGCTGGAGTTGAGTCTCCCTGGAACCATGTTGGTTTTAGAAAACCATCTAACAGCAGCCAACCATTATTTTCTGCGCTGAACTTGATGCAATCTGACTCAGTGGCATTTAACCACATCGAATTAACAAAGATTGTCCGCAATAATTTCTGTTTCAACGATTTCCAGCACGGTGGAATGTGCGTTGAGTCGAAACCTTGAACTCTTTTCATAAATTTTCACCTTCATGAAATTCTTTAAGTAGAGTTGAATTTTCTACCTTCAGGTTGATTAAGTTATTTAAATACATAGCAGCCCATTTGGCATAATTCGGTTGATTAAATGCAAAAAAGTAACCACACATTTCGAAGATAGAATCCAAGTAGAGCTCAAAATTACTGCAACGAATACTTCTAGAAAATCGAAGAAATATGTTGATAAGTTCAGTATACTGTAAGTAATATTGAGCTGTCTTTCCATGACCGCCCTGAAGTGTTGTTTCGCGGAACTGTTTATAACCCTCCAGTATTTTACGCAATGAATCAGGTAAAACAATGCTCTCATTGACTCCACGTGAAGTATTCATTGCTGCGTTTAAGTCTTCGTTTAATGTTTCAACATCGTCCGCGCCAATTTCAGATAAATATTTCTCAAAATGAAGAATCTGTAAAGCACCAGAAGCCAAGGGATGTAGCCGCTTACATCGATTAAAATGTTTACCGTCCAACAAACTGTTCATTGAACCTCCTGCTAGTGCCTCAGCTTCAACTAAAATCTCTATTAATCCACAGGAGTCAATATACTTTCCAATTACTTTAAAGAAAGCCATTTGGGTATGGAATGCACCTAAATTAATGAATATATCGTCAAATTCTGGCTTTTTAGTATGTTGGATCTGCATAGCTAATCTGGCTATTGCTAAATCGTAAGTAGCTATGATCTGTTGTTGATTACAATTCTTAGCAACTTCTTTTGCAATATTAAGAGTTTCCTGAACAACAGCTAGCGACGTAGGAGATTCATTTATTGGTGATAAGTACTCGACTGTCTGAATTTTACTCTCATCAATGCCAATTTTGCAGTTATAACCTAACCACATGGGTACCGAATTAATTTGAGATAATGACATACTCCAAATCAAATCCTTATCAATTGCAATTAATTTTTCTGGGTGACACGCATCGATTATTTCAGTAATTGTTTGAAAAGGAAGAAACGTCATACTTGTAAAAGGTGTCTTGATAAAGGGACGAATTTCCTTCGGAGGTGCTTCAAAACGCCGTCTCTTACGAGCTCTTGCAAGGGACTCATCCGTGTGACCTTCATGGAAATATGCGCCGAGGGATTCTGAATCAGAAGTATCCGAATTGTCCAAATTATTAGGGTCATCATTTTCACTGCGAAACTGATAAATGATACCGACTGTATCGTGCAGAGTATCTTTTCCAGTGGGTGTATCGACGAAACGGTCAAAATTATCGAAAGCTACGTGCGTGCTTAGCCCATCAACTCGGCTAATACCAGCCGGTATTACATTGTTTTCTTTTTGGGAACTATACGTCATCTCAGTTTCAATTTCTTCAGCTAAATTATACCCTATTGTATGTCCATATCTATTTAATATCGTTAGAACTTTTCGTGAACTTGTCATTGATTTCATTGATAACCCGAGCGTAAGATGTTTTGACGGTTTGACTCTACCTTTCGATACAATATAAATCAGATCACTACACAGAGACTTAATTTTCACTAAGTCGTCACTTGAATTTTTACGACGAGTATCTGGTCCTTGAACTAAGTCGCACACGAAATTAAAAAGTTGTTCTGGAATATTACACTCTCCGAGAATAATATCTTCATCTGGCAGCTTCGTACTTCCTACAGATGTTATACAGTTTCGCAATTCGTAAGCGACATCTCTGCATCGATTCTTCTCATTTGATTCTAACTTAGCTATTTCACTAACTAATCGTGACGTGTTCATGTCATACTGATAGACAATTTTCCTTTTTGGTGTCCCCATGGATGACTCTACAGTAATTCGATCGCCAAAAGCTTTTATAATTTTATTTTCTAAGTTTTCAGCACGATATTCCTGTAAATCTTCAGCGCGTACTTGACCTTCAGCAAATTCCAACAGCAATGATTTATACTGAAATAACAAATCAGTAAGATACATAACGCGATTTTTCTCAATAATTTCCGCCTTTATTATTTCCGAAATTGCATTGAATGCTAACTGGTGAAATTGGCGATTTTTGTGCCAATATCCTGGCTCTGGATGTTCCTCATATTTTCGTTTCAGTGAAATCTGATACGATGACAAACAAGTCGAATGATAAGCAATAGATTGAGGGCTTTCTAGTTTCGCTAATAGTTTTGAGTCATTCGATTTCCCGGCCATTGATTTTATTGTTTCAACCGTTGCTTCTGATCGCGGGAATGTTACATAAGTTCGTCTCTTACCAACTTTTTTCTCAACATGATCACAAAAAAGGCAGGCTGACTTTTTATTTATAATTGTTGATGAATTAGCTTGCTGGGATATTGTACCAGCAGATGACAAATTTTGAATACACTGAGAATGATCATCCTCCTGCGCAGATGTACTAGGCTGCTCGTTTAAAGCAGTCGTACTAAGCTGTTCGTCTACTGAAAGTGTAGTCGGTTGATCGTTTAATGTAGCCCTTGATTCTTCCTGCAAAGTAAATGTATGCGTTGAAAGACAATTTTTATTAAAAGCTTGGTTCTCGAAATGTTTTTTTGAAATCTGATTAATATTATTACTGCTGTATATACTTACTAGATCACAGTTTACAGCAGGAATAGTTTGTTCATGAAGACCTGAAGGGAGGCTCGGGATCTGTAAATTATAAGAAATACGGAGGTACAGTTACATATTCCATTGTCATTCAATAACAATGTTTTCATTGTATTTGATATAATTAAACGAAAATATCAAGTCGATCTAAAAGAATATAAATATGTAAAATTTTTTTTATTTTGCTATTATTGGCAATTATATATTTTTTTCGAAAAGAAATAACGCATTGTTAACAAAGAAAGTCGGTAATAGTATTTATTTCTCCACATTATATTGCTGAATGATTTTATAGTTTGTTTGAAAGAAGGTTCAAAAAGATCCGACTACCTGAAAAATTCTACCTGTGTGAGAAATGTAATATCTTAGGAATTCGTAGAGGGTACTGTGTTACTACGTTTTCCTATGAAAATAAGAAATTAAAAAAAAAACAATTAACAAAAAACCTCAAAGTTAGCACTGTATTTTTTATATCGTAACTATAACCTATATTATTCTTAAGTTCAATTGAAATTTTACTTACAGCTTGTGTTTTGCAAAAATCTTCGAATTCTTCTTTATCTTTTTGCTTCAGAACTGTAATTTTTTTTAGACACTCTGAATGATATCCAAAATCATCAGTAGATTCAACTGTCAATAAAATGTCATGATATTTATATTTTTTCTTACGACGAAACAATAACATTAGTAAACACTTTTTGAATGATGTATTATTAAAGTCAAGTACATTGAATTTTTTGTCACACAGAAAACACGCCTTCATCTTTATCGATTTTATTTTATGTTAATTAATTTGATAATTTTTAGATGCACAAAATTAAACAACAATAGATATAACGTTTTGTATTACGAACTCCAAAACAGCGTGGTTTTTATGTTAGAATGAAATGTTCGCAGCTGTTCAGTTGAGAACACTAGCATTCGACGCATGCGCAACGGCTTTAAAGTGTCGTCCAGCTGGCAGTCACTATCCTCGTCTGACTAATGATGTTACGCGCTAGCTCTCTTTCACTCTATCTTAAATATTTACCATCTTTAATATGCAGTAACCCTTATTTGCGGGCAAATTTAATTAAGTAACCGTATATCATAATAAGCAGAAAAAAATTAGCTTTAATTTGATATATAAACAATAAATGTACGTTATGAACGTATAAACGTATCAAAATCATACCTGTTTACACCTGGCTGCGAAGAGGTGCGGCCAAGTGCGCAACGGCAACGGTGATTTTCCACAGTTTCCATGTATATTGCCGTAAAGTGGACGATATTTTATTTAAAAAACCAGCGAATGAAATTTTTTCCGAAAAATCAATTTGCAATAATTTAATTAAAAATAGTAGCGGCCACATTTTTATTGGCACCTTGGTAGATATATATTTTTCTAATCATAAATATGCCTAAAAATTTGATTTTTAGCAAACATTCGATGAGTACACTAATTCTGCAGTCGGATCTCAGTGTCGTCCCATGTGGGGTTTGAACACAACACTCGGCTTAGTAGGAAGCGACGTGGCGACCGATTAAACCACTATGCAGTCAATTATTAATCCCTAGTAAACATTTACTTGACGAGTGATACAGGAGAGTGGCAGAATAAATTATTAGGGATAAGGGTAAGAACATGATGAAATAGACGTTGGTGATACTAATAACTACAATTAATATTAATAATAATTGTAACTAAAATTTTATTACGCATACGCTTATGCCTGGTTTTGTTACGGCGTTACATCATGGGGTAACAGCACAAATATCCAACACTCTTCACACTTAAAAAAAACTAATTAGAATTCTGGTCAATATAGAGGACACCGATAGCTGTAAACCATACTTTAGAGAACACAACATTTTAACACTGCCATCAATTTATATAGGTACTGGCAATATGTAAATTCGTACGAAGAAATCAACATCTGTTTACAAAAAACTACACACTACGCCATAGGACTAGACTAAACCTTTCCTCATCCCGACTCCAAATTCATTTCAATAGCACTCAAGTAATATCTATCAAAATTTACAATAAATTACCCGAAGAAATTAGAAGTGAAACCATATTAAATATATATATAAATAAATTAAAACAATTACTACTACAAAAATGCTATTACAGCATCAATGAATACCTGAGCAATCAATAAATTAAGCATGTACATAAAAAACTGAAGTATAATTATTATTGTTAGTTAGATCTCTCCCTCTCTCATCTATTGCTGAGCCCGACAGGGTCCATGATGTTCTACTGCGCCGAGTGTTGTGGGTTCAAACCCCACATGGGACGACACTTTGTGTGACCCACAAATTGTTGTTCTGAGTCTGGGTGTTCTTTGTGTCTGTTTCATGTATGTTTGTAAAGTCCTTCGCGACACAGGATATATTCCTAACGCGGGTGTTGTCTTTAAAAAAAAAAAATAGTCGTATCGAATAACTTATCTACAAAACAGAGCAAGTCAACAGATCTCATTGGTAGTGACGTGACAATCGTTCCCTTTATTTATTGTTACCACAAAAAACATTTCTGAGAGCCCTTCGAACACAATCAGCTCTGATGTTATAATATTACTTGATTTATATTCCCTCAGATTATTCTAACTTTTTGTCTTTCTCTCAAACTTTGTTATTTCAAGGCAAAGTTGGGACAAACGGTGTCACTTTTATTATGAACCTTATGTATTTTGAGATAAAGTATCATTTGGATTATATGTTGATCACTTTTATACATGAAGTGATAGATGACCACGATTTTTTCCAGGTACTAAGTCACTATTTCAGTATAATGAAATTTAATAGTAAGCTTTTTGTTAAAAGCAATAAGGTAGAAAATAGAATGCAACTTGTTTTATTCTTGAGTTACGGTTTTTTTTTGTATTGTGCTCAATATATTACAAATGCTTTACTCATTATAGCACTATGGGAATAATAAACTAAGAATAATCGATACATCCAATCTGCTCAATAAATCAATGGTAGTAGAGTTGAAAATGACTTTTTATTTGTGAGCTAGTAGTTTGATATTAACTAAAAGACACGTTTTAATGGCAAGCCGAAATAAAAAGTTAAAAATTACTTATATACCTACATCTATAAAGTATTTTAAGTCATACTCTGTAAATATAGAATCCAGAATTGGACTTAAACACTTTTGCACTCGCTACTCTGCCTAAGGAACAATTTCTATATAAACCTATATTTAAAATAAAATAAATAAAGTAAGCCTATAAAGGCTTACTTTATTTATTTTTAACATAAAGTAAAAGTAATAATACTGTTACTCTTTACAACGTTATTTTTAAATGATATACTATTTACATTAATATTATACTTGTTACACAGTTATGGTCTTTATAGTATATCGGTCATCGCTTTAAGTGTAGCAGCTTGTTTCTCGACAAAGCCCTCCTCCAAGGACTTCCATGCAGTTCGATCCCTAGCTATTCGTGTCCACTTAGCGCCCGCCATTTGTCTCAAGTCGTCTCCCAACGTTTACACTGTCTCCCTTTATTTCTTTTGTCGCTCCTAAACCTATATATAATGTATATATTATACATAGAACTTTAGTTTTATACTTACAAGTCGGGGTAAAGCTTGTAACTGTGATTTTAAGTCCAAAGGCTGGAAAAAAATATAGCAAGCTACCTATTAGGTTATTTGTTATGTAGTAAACTATTTAGCAAAGAAATTCTCAAGGACGATCCTACAGGCAGAGATCCTTTTAATTGAATGAGAGTCCTTTTAATTCTTAAAAGCTTGTAATAAGTAGTTGCTAATTAAGTGAAATAAGGGCCCAAGTACAATTGACGTGTACTTACCGGTTTCGTTGTATAGATCTGTATTTGCAAAATAAATAAATAAATGAAGGCTTTTTTTTAAATAAGTAACAAATTAAAAAAGCAAAATATTCCATGTCACTACAATTCTTTTAGTTTTATAAAAAACTAAAAAACACGCTTTCTATAGAAAACCAAACTAAAAAATAGAAAATAAATTAAAAAAAAAAGCGTTGGGTGCCTTTTCTCAATAGTAAAAAGCACCCCACGCTTTTTTTCAAATTTTTTTTTTTATTTTATGTCAATTACCCCATAACTGTTCGTGGGAGACGACTGGTCACCAATAATCTGGGATAATTTGAGACCAATATTGATTATACACACTACGCAGTATGGTCATGTAATATAAAGTTACTTACATGAGAAATGTTCCCCTGTCTGTATTTTTCGTCTATTTTATTGTACAACTGAAAAATTGTAAATATTAAAAGAAGACGACAAGAAATAAAATGAACAGAATAGGAAAGGGGAACACTGTGGGAGAACCATGCCTTGGCACATATGGTACATCTCGACCAGCAGTTCTATTCTCAAAGGAAACGGTCTTGCGTACAGCGCTGTTTTTTACGTGTTTAAACCCCCTCGGGCCGTCAACCCACCGGGGTTTGCGGCGACGTGGTGTGTCGGAATCGGACCGACTAAAACCACACGGTATGCCACTCTGTGCCTGTAATAGCACTCCTATTACAGGCACAGAGTGGGAACTGTAATAGTATTAAGACATCCGCAAACCTCGCAGCGCCTGCCCGCAATGGCACGGGCACCATCTTTATATATATAATTCTTCTGTGAGTGTGTATGTCACTGAACTTCTCTCAAACGACTGGACCGATTTTGATGAAATTTTTTGTGTGTGTTCAAGGGGATCTGGGAATGGTTTAGATTCACAATTTTGAATGGTAAGGGTGACCCATCCCTAATTTTTTTTTTTTTGTTGCAATACAACGTTTGCCGGATCAGCTAGTCTTAATATATTTATTTATTCGGGTACATTCTTTATTTATTGCGGCTTTCAGTTACGGCGGGTGGAAAGAAAGACCTGTCCCGTCCACCGTTAATTTAGAATTCGGCGCTGTAGCAGCGATGTACGCCAGGCTGTTTACTTAGAGAATAGCACTGCTGTATGTTACCACGGTCCCACAGAAAACCAGCTTTTAGTAATTATTCTTTTCTTGCTCTTCACCGAGTGAGTGAGGTAAGCGAAGTCCCAGCTCTAACTCTGGGAGAGGCCACATTAAGAGTGACAATGCACTTGTATATCTTCTGTAGCTGCTGGTGTCGAGGCGGTAGTCACTTGGGAGACTCGAATTTATGACAGACCTATTGGTCTAGTGGTTAGTGACCCTAAGTGTTACGTTCTTGTATGAAATAATCTCTTACCTCGAGTTTATGTCTAGTTATTCCCAATAACTGTACTCCAGTTGGCTGAAATTGCAATATTTTAAATCTATTTATTAGGAGTTCGTGAAAATATTCACTGACTGATCGACCGCTGGGTCTAGAAGCATGAGTTTTTGTACAAATCTTCCTTAGGTGACGTAGATGCACACTAAGAAAGGATTTAAAAAAATTCCAACTCTAAATGTGCAAACTGGGGGTCGTATATGTAACTTTGTTATATTTGTTAGTAGCGTTTTTAAGCTCACATTAAATACTTTATAGTTTGTATCTTCTTTATACATATACCTATAATCTTTATTCATTGTATCCTCTACTATGTCTGATGTCGACCAACATGCGTACGAAGTCACAGGAAAAAGCTAGTTTTATATAAAACTTGTTACAAATTGTAAATTATATTTTAGGGTCATTTATACCCCGTGACTGACAAAAAGTAATGTCAATTGTAGGAAAAATCCCTATTTCTTTTACGGCAACGTTATTTAAAACAACATTTATGCTATGGAGACCATTTAGCAAAAGAAACTTTAAGTTATACATCACGGTTAACGCGTTATAATTTAAAAACCTTAGCGAGCCGCAGAATGAAACTTGATTCCATATTTCTACATAAAATACTAAGTGGTTCCACGGACTGTAGTGAGTTACTAAGCGCCTTAAGCATAAAAATACCTTTGCGTCTTCCAAGAAAAAGCAATTATAATTTATTTGAAATTCCATTTTCGAGAACTAATCTGGGTCATTACGCTGCTGTGCCGAGAATTTGTAGGCTGTACAACACTTTATCAAAAGCTCATGATATCGATATTTGCGAATCCTTGCCCCGATTTAAAAGACACTTGCAAAAAATTCTTTAAGGTTCTCATTTATTGTTGTTTTTCTTTTTTTTTTAATTTTAAAGTTTGTCTGTTTATTTGTATTCAGACAGAAAGAAAGAAAACAATTTAATATTTTGTCATATTTAATGTTATTTAGGAGGTTTTCTCACTATGTTACTTTTGAATTAGTTTTGTATTAGGTATAAGTTTGGATATTCTATTGCATGCTGTGGTCTCCTATAACTGAAGGAGTACACTATTCAAAAAACTAAGTGTGTATTATATGTACTTCTGTGTATATCCTTTGTTGGAGATCCAATAAATAAATAAATAAATAAATAAATAAACATCAGATACCCTTTCTGTGAGACCTTGTAGAACTCATCATTTTAATTGCCTATTTACAGTGACGGAAATATCACGGGATCCTGAAATTGTCTTTAAAGAATCAGACGACAACCAATCAGACTGCACGGATGGCGTAGTGGTTTAAGCGGTCGCCACGAAGCTCACTACTACGCTGAGTGTTGTGGGTCCGATCCCCACATGGGACGACACTTTGTGTAATCCACAAATTGTTGTTCTGAGTCTGAGTTCTTGGTGTCCGTTTCATGTATGTTTGTAAAGACCCCCGCGACACAGGATATATTCCGGGATTCGGGAGTTGTCTTTAATAAAATAGAGATATATCTATAATCCAGTGATGGAATAAGGCATCATTTTTGTGTACAAAAGACGCTTGGCCTCGGGAATTTTATGATTGAAAGTTGAGAGGTACTAAAGCAAAGGACGTCTTGTATTAAAAAAGATTATGCTTAAAATAGGAATAGTAAGAAGATACATTTCAATGACCTTGAAATAAATTCAGAAAAAATCATAAATATTAAATACTAGATTTTGCCTGCGGCTCAACCAGCCAGTGTATGTATATATAATATTTCAGACATCTGACACATAACGCCATCTAGTTTCAAACTAAGCAGAGCTTTTACTATGAAAACTAGATTGACTGATAGAATACTTATATACTTTTTTTCTAAATACATACATTTTATACATAGAAAACACCCAAACTCCGAAACAAATTTTGCAGATCATACAAATATTTAGTTCGACCCGGGAATCGAACCCGAGACCTCAACACAGCAATCGCATAAGCTACTACTGCACCACCAAGGCAGACAAACAAACATGTCTTTTATCGCAGTAAAAAGTAGCCATAGTCGTTTGATTGTTAGGTATGGATACATGTAGCATGTATCCATACCTAACAAAAAAAATGTCATGCAATAATGTGTCTACTTACCACCGCACTTGGTCGCATTTGGGACGGCATTTGAGGTATCTCTGTATTGATACTCTGTGGGAAAATACAACTTTATAGTGATGTGGGAAAGTAACAAATAATATTAATTTAATATGACCAAGCCAGAGTTGGTGGGTTCGATTCGTACTCAGCAAAAATAATAGTGTGATGAGCACGGTAATTTTTTTCTGTCTAGGTGTAAATATTTCTAAATACACACATACAATAGATAAATTACACCCATACACAGAAAAAATGATCGTGCTCATCACACTATTATTTTGGCTGAGTGGGAATCGAACCCGTATTGTTGTTAAAACTTGTTAAACCACTTATTAATTGAGTACTTACATATTCTAGTGCCTCAGGTCCAGAGCGTAGGAGGTCTGGAGAAGACGGTCCACCTCTAACTCCTACACCCATGTATGATTGTGATCTTGGGCCTGCAGGTCCAAATCCTTGTGGGGCACCAGGTCCGCCGTATCCAGGTGGAGGGCCTCCGGGCCCTCCATATCCGGGTGGGGGGCCTCCAGGCCCTCTATATCCAGGTGGAGGGCCTCCAGACCCGCCATATCCGGGTGGGGGCCCTCCAGGCCGGCCATATCCGGGTGGGGGACCTCCAGGCCCGCCATATCCAGGTGGGGCCCCGCCAGACCCACCATAGCCACGCGGGCGCCCTCCAAGTCCTCCAGGTGGATGTCCTCCAGGTCCTCCATAACCAGGTGGAGGCCCTCCAGATCCTCCATATTCAGGTGGAGGGCCGACAGGACCCCCATATTCTGGTGGGGGCCCTCCAGGACCTCTATATCCATGTGGGGGACCTCCAGGCCCTCTATAACCAGGTGGAGGCCCTCCAGATCCTCCATATCCAGGTGGAGGGCCACCAGGACCCCCATATTCAGGTGGGGGCCCTCCAGGACCTCTATATCCATGTGAGGGACCTCCAGGCCCTCGATATCCAGGTGGGGGGCCTCCAGGACCACCGTATCCGGGACGCCCTCCAGGCCCTCCGTATCCGGGTGGTCCTCCAGGCCCATTTCTACCACCTGGCCTACTTCTTAGCACTGGTTCCTCATCAATTGTGTAATCTGTAGCCTGTCCCTCACTATTTGGCCCCTTGCTCGGCATGTCAGGTTCTTTGTAATCTGGAGGTGGTCCTTCCTGGAAATATTATTAGGTTATCACTGGCTGCTTTAAAAAAAGTAAATTATGATGTCTGATACAAATAAGAATGCTTTTTCAATGGCTTTTCTAGATATTGTCATGTTTATACCTGTTTATTTTGTAATCCATAATTATTAGTAACCTATGATTTGTTTTCGTCATTTATTTATTTATTTATTCATCCTCTCCTATTGCACTCCACTTCGATCGATGATTTGTTTTAATTATTGTTAAAATTTTCTAGTTCAGTGCTGAATAAAGCGTACAGTTCAAAATAGGTACTATAATAATAAAAAAGTTTGTCCTAAATTCAAAATCATCCTAAATTTGAATACTTTGTTTTCTACAAAAACACTCGAGTGATTGCCAGCCAATCAGCTGACTATGACATACATACATTAAAAAAAAATACGTTACTTAATTGTTACATTAAATCAGTTTCTCTTTATTATATCTTTTTGAAGACCTTAAGAAGAAGAAGATAGCTGGGTCAAACTAGGTGTTGAAGGCGAAGGGCCATATACTATGACGAAAATTGGGAGAGGCCCAGGTCTAGCATTGGACTGCTTTAAACTAATTAATTGATGTAAAACATTTATAAATATTCATTTGTGACTTCTGTTGTGGTTGTTGTTGGTTCAGATATTTTACGAACTGTTAGATTGGACAGTCCGGCACTTTTAAAAAAAACCACCACTGACTATCACAATTATTTATTTTATAACTCTACACAACTTTTGGCAACTTAATATAGACACAAACTTATACAACACCACTTAACACGAATTATACGCGTTTTTATTGGCCCCAGCGAAGGGCAGAATAGACCCGGAGTATATTATTGCTCTAGAATTCCTTGCTGAAAACCAACCAAGGTTGGGGAGTAGTCAGAGACCACAAATTATATCAGCACTAGAGAATAATAACTGACTAATTTAAGAAAAGGATTGGTATTTATAGTGTATTTATTGCTGATCTGCAATGTTAAATTTACGTCATTTTGCTATTATTGCAAGTCAGCAATATTGTATTGCATTCCTATGCAATATCATCAAAATTAGGGATGTAACACCTCCCCCCTTTAAAACGAAACATCCGGAAATAGAAAAGGATGTGAGTATAATCCATGTAAGATAAAATTAAGATTAGAAATTGAGTTTACAAACTTTTCTTAAATTATATTATATAGTTAGATTATCAAAAAAATTAGAAATAGTAAAAAAAACCAAAATGAAATTAAAGAACCCAGAATTAAATTAAACATATTATCAAAATGAAAATAGAACCTATAGATTATATTATTACAATAACTCAAGATTACGTCTTGGAGTACTTACATTGGAATCAGTACTTTCTGTATCATATTCACGTTTGGCCAGTTCAATGCTAGCTCTTGTGCGGATATTAGTGCTAGGTTTAGTCATACAATTATTAAAAATTTTGACACAACAAGAAGTACTGTTTCTATGTTTATTACAACAAACACATTTATAAAGTTTATAAGAGAAATAGGAGAATACAGAGACAGACAGTATGGTAGTAATAATACTAAAATAGTAACTATAACTAATATGATATGGTTGAGTTTCAATTTTGGTCAAATCGTCATTGATTTGATTTAATCGGTGAGAAGCGTATTGTAATGAATCTAAATTTACATGTGTTAATTTGATAGAGCTCAGATGTGGTAAAGTATCATTTAATTTAACTTTAGAGCAGCAATCATCTTCTATAATATTAAAATTAGGATGTGGAATATTGATTTTAGTTTCAAATTCTTGAGATGGAATGAATTGAAGTAGCTTGTGGTAAGCCTTACAGTATTTAGGCAGGGTTAAAATACCTGTACCAACTATATCATAGTCATTTATAATGCCATTACAATTAATAGAGATTTTTGTTATATCAGATTGAACATAAATCCATCTATTATTTTTAAGTTTTTGCCATATATCTATTTCACCTACAATAAGCTTAAAATTACAAGAGTCTGGGATACCTTTCACATGTTCGGTTAAGACCGTCACTTCACAATTTGGATTTCCGACACTTGATTGTATATTACCTAATTTGCACAAATAATAATTGTTATTTATCACTTTGCACTCACTTAAGTCTTCTAACACGGAATAAATTAATTTATCTTGTGTCACTGCCAGGAATTTTGCGGTTGGATTAATTAAAGCGAAAGTATTAGGATTATTGATATCATGAGGAGTTGGTAAAGAGTATACGTGGTACAAGTTGTATTCTACAAAGGATACTAGAGGAATTCTGATTACAAAAATAAGTTTGTTGTCGTTAATGAAAGAAGATATTTCTGAGACATCTAAAATTGCGTGAATGTTACTAGGAGTCAAATGTAAAGGTAGGCTTAAAATAACATCGTTACTTTTCGAATTCAATTCATTGTACAATTGCATGGGACTTAGTACAGAAGGATGAACAATATTTTGTTTACCAAATAAAATAGCATCAATAAGGTCTTCTAAATTAAAATTAAGAATCATTAAAGAACTTTCTAAAGCGCTGAAGGTCATTGATAAATGAGAAATGATTTCCAACTTATTGGTGTTTGTTGAAACAGTGTCTAAAATTTTATCAAGATTTTGTATGTTATTGTTTAGAATATATTCGTTTTCATTAAGTTTAGTAATTGTATTATTGAATGATGAAATAGAAGAGGTCATGATATGTATATTTTCTTTCATGATTGTAGCTAAATGTCTTTGATCGTCTTGGACTGCATTAATGGCGTCTGTAAAGGCCTTAGCGTCATCTTCATCAAGTGAACCAAAGAGTTGTTTTAATATTGGTCCACCTATACCAAACCAAGCAGACCTTTTAGTTTTGCCTTTATTATCGGTACTAGTTAAATGGGATAGGGACATATAATTGTTCTGTACTTTTATAAATAGGCTTTCCAAAGGACTTAAAATATTCCAACAATCAGTTTTAACCTTAGTAGATTGGTGTGTATTACAAATATGTTTGCACGTTTCTAAAATTCTTTGAATAGTGTCTATATGAGGTTTTACATAGGATAAATCAGAAAAAGTTACTATGTTCCAATAATTATTATAATATTTTAAAACACCCATCGGATCATAAAAGAGACCTGGACTATTTACTATAGGCGTCGTCATGTTTGATCTTGCAAGGGATCCTGGCGCGATGGCCCTGGAAGAGAATCATTAAAAGCTAATTTAATTTCGTCAAAATGATATCTAACATGTCTACGATTGATTAAAAGAGTGACATTATTATTGCCATGTACTTTAATTATTTTATATGGACCTTTCCAGATACTAGAAAGAGCTTTACGCAGTCTGTGATGGTGCTTCACATACACCATATCTCCAACCTTATAAGAAATGTCTCTAGTGTTTTTATCATAATATTTTTTAGAAGTTTCTTTACTACGGAGGATATTTTCTCTGGCTATATTTCTGGTATTGATTAGCTTTTGTTTTAGCGTTTTAACATAATCAGGATAGGTAGCTGTTGGGTCAATATCGTAGATAGAACTAGGTAGATGAGGTTTACAACCAAACAACAACTCATGAGGTGTGAAATTAGTAGAAGAATGTACAGAAGAATTGTAAGAAATAATAGCTGTTGGAAGATATTTGTGCCAATCGTCTTGATTATCGTTGACATAGGACTTTAAATATTCTTTTAAAGTGGCATGACTTCGTTCAAGAGCCCCATTAGTTTGAGGATGATATGGAGTAGAAAAGAGATGTTTAATTTTAAATAGAGATGTGATTTGTTTATATACTTCTGCAATGAAATGAACACCTTGATCAGATAATAGAGCTTTGGGGATGCCGAAGTGACAAATAAATTTAATTAAACAATCAGCTGTTTGTTCAGCCGTTGAGTTAGTAATAGGATAGGCCATGGAATATTTTGTCAAATCATCTTGAAAAGTAACTATATATTTATATCTTTCAGGACCGGATTCGGGTAAAGGACCAACAATATCAGTAGATACTCTTTGGAGAGGTTCGAGAGAAGTAGAAGTTATTTCCATTGGAGCTTTATTACAGGCGCGTAGAGCTTTATTTTGTTGGCAAAGTGGACAACGTTTAATATACGATTCAATATCGTTTTTCATACCTTTCCAGTAGTAAGATTCCTTTAATTTATTATATAACCGCGATGAACCAATATGTCCGCCAATAGGCGAATCATGATTATCTTTCAATATTGTAGGAACTTCGTTAGGGGTTGGGTAAATTATTTTATTATGATATATGTTTACGGTGATATTAGTGTTATGGAAAATAAAACAAATGATTTCATAGATCATTAAAAATTGAAGCTTGTCAAATGGATTGGAAAAATCAGACATAGAGATTTCTTTTACATCGGGATGAAATATAATTAATTCATTACGAAGATTGTTTAAAACGTTAAATATGTCTCTGTAATTACAAGAGTCATAATGATGTACTTTAGTAAACATGTGAAAATATGTTTTATTATTAATATTGGAAGTTTTTACAGAATATAATTCCTTTTCAGAGTTTTTAAAGACTTCTACGTTATCTAAAAGGTTAATTATTTTTTCACAGTAAGGGTTAGAAGAATCTAGATCGATTGATGTCGGATAAGCAATAGTATTGCAGGATGTCTTCAAAAGGCTTTGATTGAATTCGTGAACTACAGTAGTAAAAACCATTGGACTAGAACGAGATCGAAGGAAATTTCCATAAGTTATATCATTACTAAGATCTATATCATCAATATTATATATGGGAGGACGAGATAAGGCATCAGCATTAAGATTTGTTTTACCGGACTTATAAACGATTTCGTAGTCATATTCTTCTAATTTAAGTCTCCATCGAACTAGTTTACTTGAGGGATCTTTACAATTAAAAAGCCAAACAAGAGGACGGTGGTCAGTTACTATTTTAAACTTTCTACCGTAGATATAAGGTCGAAAAGTTTTGACTCCAAACAAGATTGCTAGAAGTTCTTTCTCGGTG